CCCAAAACCCCAAAACCCCAAAACCCCAAAACCCCAAAACCCCAAAACCCCGGTTTCCTTTAGAATAATAGAAGGAGTTGTATTAATAATTCAAATATTAAGATAAATATTTCTTAAGGCTTCCAGGCTTAATGAAGATTCCCTTCTATAACATAAGAAAGCTGGCTTACCTTAATCTTCTTTTTAAGAGGCCTCTGGACAAAGGATTCGCAACGAGTTAACTTATTTTTCGATTTTGATTTTGGCCTGGCTTCTGTGATTCTTGTTGCTATCTTTAACTGATTCCTAGATATATTCTTTTGGAGCGGTTTCTTTTGAATTCGAAATGTTGATTTGTGTGCCTTAGCTGCTGCCAACTTCTTCGAAAGGATCGACCTCTTCACCCCTTTCTTACTCTTGCCCCTCTGACTGGTAAGACTTGACAAACTCTGGTTTATAACGCAGCTAGGTTTGGTGACTACTTGGGTTTTGGGGTCTGGAGGATTGGACTCTAGAGGTCAGAGGGCAGGAATACGTTGGATTGTGGAGGGGGTTTTGGATGAGCTTTAAGGGGTGGGAAGAAAGTTGGAGGCGAGGGATTAGGTTTTCTTTGTCATTGTAGTGGTTGTTATCGTCTGGGCATTGGAGTTGGTGGTTTAGGTTGATGCTTTCTTTGAGGATGATCAGGCTTCCTAGTGAGTCTGGGTAGTTGTTCTATTGAGATAGTGAGTGGTTTTATGGGATTAGGCATTTCTGGAATTATTTACCTTACTATCAAATAAATTTCTCTCGTTTGATGATTCCTTTTGTAGATTTATGAACTAAATGCTTAATTTTCAAAATATTTTTAAATACATACCTTCTTCTTCTGGTCAATTGATCTGTCTTTTGGAACTTTAGAAGAATTTCATCTGCTAAATTCTAGTTGGGCAGAGAAATTAGAGAATTGGTCGTTCAATTTATACAAGTTTCTATGGTGTATATCACAACTCTCATTTGGTAGTTTACGAGTGACTAAAGTTTTAAAACTTAAATATTACCTGAATCTTGCCTAGTACTCTTAGTAATATTATTTTGATAAGTGTCCATTACCCAATTAGCTTTAAAATCTAAATTTAAGCTCAACTTTTACCTAATATCTTATCTTCTTGAGGGGCTATCGACAATAATGGTTCATAAGGTTGACCATCTGGAATAAAATTCTTCATTTTTATTGACTTATCTCCTTCCTTAGACTCCATACTAAATCAATGTTCTAGTCTGAGCTCCTCGTGACTTTTATTCAGCTCAAAAGAAATCTCAAATGAATTAAACTCAGAGTTATCCCTCTGTGACTCTGAACTGCTTGAATAATTTGGGTCATAAATATTATGACATTGCGATTCAAAGGAGATATTGTTAATATTAATCTCTAAAGATAGATTATAAGTGATCAAAGCCTGTTCTTACTCCTTTTGCAATTTCCTACTCTTGGCTTAACACAGCTTGATAAATCCAATAAGTTCTTTTGACAAGCATTCGGATTATTTTTGAGGGGTATTCATTGGGACAATTCTTTTTCTTCCTCTGGAATGGTTCACATCTTTTGATGCTGTAGTCCCTACGTTGGACCTCATCTTTTCTACAATCACTGGAAAGTACTTTGATTCATTTTTATTTACTTCAAAAAGCAAGCTCTTTTTAAGAGATCAGTAATCTCTTGTGGTTTCTTTATTCTTAAGGTTCTCGATCTTATTTGGAAGGTTTCAGATTGTTGTAAGATTATAATCTATCTGCTGATGCTTTGTCAAGCATAGTTTATTAGTCAGTGAAGGTTTAAAAATCTATAATTTTTAGCCCACCAGAATTTAAAATTTAAGTTGCATAAATATTTTCTTAGATTCAAATTAAAATCATACAAATTTCTTTTCTAAAATGGCAGTTGAAGAAAAGCATAAAAGTACTTGAAAATAAGCAGAATGGTTCCATGAGGGTAGATCTTACCTCTTGAGCAACTTCATACTTCTTCTGAAGCTTTGCCAAATTAGACACTCATAACTGGTTATCAGTTTTAGCGCAAAATATTCATTCAAAAACTGGCAATAATTGTTGAACCTTTTTCTTAGCAGGCTTGCTCTTTGTGTTTGATCAGACAATCTTATCTGGAGTTCATTGAGTGTGTGCAATTTCTTCCTTCTTCTTTGATTGCTTTATAACCATTGTGAGATTATCATGAGTGTCTGATGGGCAGGAAGAGCAAGTTTATTTAACTTCACATTTTATAAATATAGAGTAGGAGCTAGCAAGCATGATACTTTCTATGATGAAGCACTTACCATCCTATTAATATTCTCAGGGCTGGGAGATTGGCGAGCTCCTTGAGCGTAAAAATCTAAGAAAGAGGCTTCACTCATTGCGTCTGAGACATCATTAATAGTCATTGAAATATCAATACTGAAGTCTAAGTAGCATTAAGAAGATAGGTCTTACCTTCCAATGGTAGTTCATTAGAAATTTGCTTTTTCTTAGCTGCATCATTCCCAAAAGGAAGCCCTCCTCTGGCTTGTTGTGGAATGTTTGCAATTTGGTTCCTCATAATTATTTTCTTAATAATTTAAAAATTCAAAATTTGATAAATTTTGAGGGGTTTTGGGGTTTTGGGGTTTTGGGGTTTTGGGG